CAATGATGCAGTGAACTAGGAGGGTCTTTACTCAAAGACACTGTGGAGTGAAATATTGTCCTCAAGGCCAAACTTAGAGGCTTTTATACTTACGATGAGTTTGTTAGATTAGAAGAATAGTTTAGTTGTAGTATATATCATGCTGCTCGAATGAAAATGTACTTATGTTTTCAATTGATTAATAAACTTATGATCTAGTTTGGCTATGGGTATACAAAAAAAAAAAACAAAAAAAAAATAGCTAATATTTCAGCTCTAGTTGCAAATGGTTAAGTGAAAACTCCTGTTGAGATTATTTAATCACATTGTTTTTCTTTATTATAATACAGGCTAAGAGTTTACAGGTTATTGTCTCTTTTTTATAAGAGCTATCAGTATAGAAAGTAATCTAATCAACTATATTCTTTATGTTATATTTTAGAATACCTATAAGTTCATCTCTATATTCTTCTATTTGTATGGCTTGTTCTATTAGTGTAATATTTCAGTCTTCCACTTGAATTTCTATTTCTACAGATTAGATGGTTGATAAAGTCACTATTTGATAATATGTGTTTAATTGCCAGTCTGTAGAATTTCTTGATAGAAAGATTTGTTTTCTTTTTCTTAGATTATTATGTCTATTTAGTTGTGAGAGAAGGTGAACTTGTGATATAGTAAAACTATTTCTATTGACTGTACTGTTCTATTTGATTGAAAATAGATATAATTACTAGCAAAGTCATATACTAGTTAATATAATATGAAATGGAATTTGTTGTTTATGAATATTGTCTTTCCTAATGTGCCTTTCAAAGTAATAGTATAGACTATTCAATATATTTTTCTTTTATTTAAGTTTGTTGAGAATGTTTTAGTTTACATATTGTAAACTATCTATTCAAGTCCATATAGTGAGTTTCATAGAAAATCTTAATTTATTGTTATTTTTTTATAAACTTTTTTGTATTAAGAGGAGATTAGTCTTTTGCATCTGTTAAAAAAATTTTAAATTGCTTTCCATTTTTAAGTGTCATTGTAATAAAATTGATGAATTGATCTAGAAACATAATCTTATACTTTTGTAATAATGAAATAGTCTTTTCATATTCTCTATTATTTTGTAATATTAATTTAATGGACAAAATATCTTCCTAATAATCAAAAATTATTTTTTTTTTAATTAGTTATACAGACTGAGCTTTATTGATATTTGTGAAAAATACTGATATTAGATTACAAGAGGCTATACTTATAACTATTTAACTATACTACCTATATTTAATATAATCTGATTTTACTTATTTCTAAGTGAATACCATCTTGTCAGCTACCTTGCTATATACAGGCACCTAGTGTTCTGAGAATCCATTAGAAACTACCATTTTTAATTCAAGAGATATTTTTGTTGTATATTCTTTAGAATGTAATTGATTCTTTTATAGGGAAGGTGTGTTCAAATCTTGTATGACATGCTTGCCGTATTTGGTTTTTTTCAGAGGCTAGGTCATTTGATACTTTAATCTCCATACAGTCTGATGTAAAGCTCTGGTGATCATTGATGTGTTTTGTGATAATCTAAGTCTTCCATTGATCATTCTTAACCACTCTTTAAAGATGACCTACAGGGATTTTCCTTGATCAAACAAGACCTTAGGCCTCTCCCAAACACATTTACCCCTGCAGTTCTCATAATAAGTATTGTGTTTTCTTACAATCTAAGACCAAACTGGCTTCATCTCTCTGGTAACTTTCATGACTGATACAGATGACCAAGGTCTCTCAATACTTCCCATAAATATAGTAATTTAAGAAGAGGTAGATTCTTCATTAGGCTGAAAGGATTTTGAGGTGATCCTTATCATTCCTGACATTTTTTTAGTAGCTTCACATATTCCAGGCAGCATGGGCATCATAACTTCATTTGTCCTAGTGCTAAAACTGACTAAGACTTGTATGATCTATTTTTAATATACCATGATCAGACAATAGTATTTGATAGGTCAGGTGTGTACAGGAACACATGTGATTGATAAGCATGTATTCTGTACAATGTAATCTATTATTGAGATTATCATTCTTGAGTAGAATTGAACCAGTAACTCACGAATAGTGACCTGGGAGTGCACCAATTGCACTATTGATCCACAGGTCAAAATTTTTTTCCATCTCTAACTTTGAAAGGTAATTTATATATTTTTTGTCAAGGCCAATATTGCAGTTGTCAAATTTTCTTTAATTAACTTTTAAGAATTGATAGAATTTTATAAAATATTATCAGACTTCTAACATTTAATTAACTCTGTTTTAGTCTAATTATGGTAGCAATACTAGAGACCTCATTATTATTGAGTTGACAGAAAAGTGCAGGTATATGACTTTCTAGTTATATTTCTCAGATACTCTTAAGATCATATATTTATTTGTTATAAATACAACTGTTTAGAATTGTTTCACAGACTAAAGCCTTGTTCTTGAATACTTTTCTAAACATGGCTATGAGATCATTGTATATCTTCTTATTTAGATGTATATATTGTATTCTATATTCTATTCTTAGAATCAGAATTCTGTTAATAATATATCGATATTTTTCTATCAACTTTTTCTTAGTTATTGCCTAAATTACTATCCTGATTTCTGATTTTATTAGACTAATGGTATCCTGATTCCTTTATCCTGATTCTAGCCAGATACCAAGAAATATGGCCTGATCTTTTTTATTAATTTCATAAACTATAATACCCTCTATTTCAGCTTAAACAATTCTAAGAACTTGAAAATTTCAATTAATAGTGAAGAGAATTGACTTTCTTATATTAATTTGGGAGTTATTTATTATATATAACTTTTTGCTTTTTCCAAAATCCTTTTTAGATCTTCCTTGGATTTGGCAATCCAGGTTATATTATTCATATAAGCAATTACTGCCTGCCTTAAAAAGAGCTTAACTTTTTTCTTAAGTTTGTTAAAATTGTGCAGCCATTCTTCTTTTATGAAATAATTCAAGTTGTTATTGTTTTGAATTTTGTATAACAATAAATTATAAAAAATTCTTTATAATAATAGAAAAATTGTTTCTCCTTAATCTATACTATTTCCTACTACTATTGGATTAGAGAATCTATTAAAAAGAATAATATTACAACTTCTATCTTTAAAAAGATTTATTATAAGTTTCTTAATGATTATAGAAATTTAAATCTGATTTATGGTCTTTTCAAGTACATAAAGAGATATTGTGTTTTAATAATATCTTCTAAGAAAATCCATAATTCTTTTTTCTTTTCTCTGACTTTTTTACAAATATTGTTCAGCAAATAAATAGGTTTTGCTATACTCTTTTCTTATAGATTAGTAAAGTTTTTACTTTTAGAATTTTATATTACTTGCAAATAATTGATAGTTAATTAATAAGGATCTTAGTAAAACATTTTTGATATGTTTCTAAAAGAATAATAGGTCTTGCATTATTTAAATTATATTTTCAGGACTTGGATTTAGAAATGGAATAGATGTTATTATTTTTATATTTTCTAGGTATCTAGACTATACTTAAAACTTTATTAAAAAGAAAATATAAAGTTCCTTTTCCTTTGACTTTTAAGTGTTTGAGCATTTTATAGTTAATGTATATGAGATCAGTAGTTTGTTATTTGAAAGAAATTGCAAAATAACTTCAAGCTCTTCTACTTAGATTTCTTCTATTAATGGTAAGTACTATATTATGTTAAATCAATCCATTCCTTGAGTTGATATTTTTTTTTTCAGGAGGAATTAAAACTTTCAAAATTGATATTTCTTTTTTAAAAGCCTTTTTGTAATATTATTTAATCTTGCTTCTGATAATTTAAGAATTAATAGTAATATATTCTTTCCCTTCTTGGTTTTTGATTAATACTTAGTCTAATATGATTCTAGATTTTTATGATTAAAACTAAGCTTAGAATTTGTTTTTGATTAAATTTGAGATCATTACATATGTTTTTCAGAGCTTTCTTAATTTTGTTTCTGATATTGAAACATTTTTTTTCTTACATATTATTCTAAAGATATGTTCTATTTTAATGATCTTTCTTAATTGCTCTGAAATTTCATTTTGTGATTGTATTTAAAAGAAGATCTTGAATCATTTTAGAAAAAAAGTATGAAATAAAATATACAGTATAATAATATAATAATATAGAAAAAGACTTATGAAATTTTTTGAAAGAATAAGATAAGAAGTCCTACAAAGTTCTTTATAACAAGAAAAGTATGAAATATAAAAAAGAAATGAGAAATTACAAAAGACAAATATTCAAGTGAAGATCTTATCAAAATTATAATAATAAGGATTAAAAACAAAATAAAATAGTTGGGTTTTAAACTTAATTAGAATTGTAGTTAGCGATCTAAAATGTAAACTACAAATAATGATATTAATAGTAGGAGAATATTAACTCAAACTATAAATGAAATGACAAATTACTTTCAAAGTTGCACTTAAAGTTTGAAAAAAAGTGAGTTAGTTAATAATTTAACTTTAGCAATATATAATTGATATAGTTTAAAATATAATACATTTAATAAAGTAAATATAGTTAATTTGACAGAGTTAAAAAAAAAAGAAAGTCTTAATATTCTTTTTGACTTTAGAGTAATTAAAGTAACTTGATTTATTAAGTAAGATTAGTTATTTTTGAGATTTTTATAGTATCAAAAAAAAGTGTTGACCTGTATTGATCTGATTATAAGTTGTGTGAAATTAATATTGGCTTTCTTTTTTTGACTATAAATCTAGTTATATTTTGGAAATTTATTGTTTTTCAAGATAATAAATTATTTATAGTGATTCTAATAATCTTAATAGTTAGAAATCAAGTATCTAACTATTAGAAAAATACAATATTGTTTCTTAAATTTGACTTAAAGTATCTAGTTAAGACTTAGTTTTGTTTAATTCAAATTATTTAATAGATTTTTCATATTTTTTATAAAGAAAAAAAAATTAAAAATTAAAATATATCAAATTTATATAGTCAAGCCTGGCTATAATTACACTTTTTAATTATATTATAAAAAATCCTTATTAAAACTCGTTTATTAATAACCATAAGAAAAATATTTTGTATCATTCACTATTACACTTTTTTAAAAAAATATAAATTTCCAACTGTATAATAAAACAAAAACTTTTTTTTATTTAATTCACTTATTAAAAATGCAAAATGAACAGAGCTTGATGTTTAATATTGCGAAGCCATTTGTTGGCATGCCTTGAGATTCTCTATGTACCATTGACAAACGTTGACATCATAGTTATTGTTCTCTAGACAGCTCTTCAAAGCTTTTGCATCAGTTCCACAAGGGACGTTATTTTGAGAATCTTGATACTTGGGCTTTTAGGAACATATGTTTTAGAAAATAATATCGATACGAAAATAATTTAAAATAGTATAATTCTAGTTTTAGGTACCTCTTGTGATTCGGGGACACTCGGGGAAGAACCGCTACCTGAAAAGAGAGAAGTGATACCTTGACCCTAAAAGAAATTTAACAAGAATGTATTCACATTTTTTATTATTGAGAATTAGAAAATTTTAAACCATATTTGCATTCACTTACGACAGTGTGTCCAATAGCAACACCAGCAGCAGTAGAAGCAGCCTGCATTCAAATAGTAAAATGTTCAATCTTTTTCTAGATAGTAAAAGAGTAAAATTATACGAACAAAACATTTTTTAAGTACTAATTCAATTTTATTTATTACCTGCCCTAACAAACTAGGTTGGTTCGAGGTAGCCAGGGAGGTTGGTTGCTTTGGAACGTTAATAGGGACATTGGAATTTTGTGTCGGCTTTGGTGGAGCAACTGTCACAGGTGCAGAAGCAGGACGAGGCGATGTGGAAGGCTGTTTCTTTCGCTGGGTAGTGGTAGGTGCGGATGTACGTGTTTTACGGGGCATTTTTTTTTTTACGTGTAAGATAAAAAAAAGTTTTTATGTTATTTGCGTAATGATCAGACGGACTTAGGGCGGTCGCATATATTCGTTGGCCAATCAAAATTATAATTTATTTTAAGATATTTAGTATTTATTACCAAGTTGATATGGTTTGTTTTTATTGTGTAGTAAAAGAAATAATTACAATTTAAATAACTTTCATATATTAGTTTACCTATTATTTTCTATTAGTATTCATGTGCTCTAGATCTTATATTTGATTTTTGGATTACTATTTTAATATATTCTATCAATTATATAATTTATAAAAATAATATTATTATCTAAGACTTTGATTTTTTCTATTATATCATTTATTCTATTACTGCCTTTACAAAATATTGCTCATATTTAACTAAACAAGTGATTATACTACTTTTTTTAAGAATATATATTGTTTTATTTTATTATTATTATTATTTTTTTTTTAACCTACAATTATGCTATGATGGTTTGTCTTTATTAAGAAATTAAAACAAAATCTATAATAGTTTATAGACTTTCACAAAGTGACTAACTTGTCTTCATACATAAGTACTTTAAGTCAGATCTTGAAAACATTATTACACTCCTCTAATAGATTAATAATAACCTCTATATATTAGGATCATTATTAACAATTTGTTACTATTGATTGATCAAAAAATCAATAAAATATTAAGTTAAAAAGAAAAAAGTGAAAATTGATTTGGAAAAAGGAAACAATTCAAGGTTTATAAAAAAAAAATCCAAAAATAAAAATAATTTCTTTTTAAAAGAGATTTACCTAAATAGAATAGTCTTCTTATTTTACTTGAATTTCAAAAGAAATTTTTTTTTCAATATCTATAATATTGAACAAGTCAATTTAACTAACCCTTTATTTAAATAAATACTGAATTGGGATATCTCAAGAAAAACATTTAAATCTCTATTTTTTCCATTAAAGCTTTGTCACTACCTAAAGAACTTAAGTAAGAGATAGAAGTTTTCAATCCATATTACTCATCATTTGATCTTTTTGATGTCATAAAAGTTTTTATCAAGGAACTTAAGCTTTTTAAGAACAAATATTTCCAAAACATTCTTTTCAATTATCAATGATATTATCAGAACACATGAATATAACCAATAGAAGCTTGTTTACATTTCAGAAACTAATATGTTTTATGTTAACCAATTATCTTTAGTAAAAATTTGTGTTATCAAAAATTTAGGATCAAATTGAAGTAAATAAAATTTTTTAGAAAATCATGAAAGTGAAAGCTTTAAAAGGACTAGAACAGTTTAAAAAAAAAAAGTAAATCTTTTAACTGTAACAAAACCCTTGTAAATCTCTTGTTTCAAAGGTTAGAAAGATCTTCAAATACTTCACAATTAGTTCTTTTTACTTTGAAAACTTTCTTGTCATTGATATCAAAGATATTACTTGACTTTTCTTGATCACTAGAAGTCAAGTTTTTGGATGAAAAAATTTGTAAACAATAGGAGAAGGTTAGAGATGACTTTTAAAATCAAACTTTTTTTTTATATTGCCAGCTTAGCTTTTATTTTATTGAATATAGTTTTTAAATATAAATATAATATATATTAAAAATATAATTTTGAATCTATAAAGCTAAACAAAAAAAAAAAAAAAAAAAACTCTTTCCGCAAAT